TAACAAACTTTAAAATCAACTCCTAATATAAGCAGACGTATTACTGAATGGTTTGTATGAAAAATGGACTATAAATAATAGTAGAATTTCTTATCAGAAGTACTAGACCTCCCTTATAAATGCTATAAATGCTTACCTGTATCAGAGTACATGTAGCTAACTTTATACAACAAGATGGTTGTATATGGTAATTTTTAAGTAATTTATTTTGGAGGTTCAAGCACTCAAAAAATTACTAAAAGCTAGAATTATGCTTGTAAATGCAATTTTAATTCTGCCTTCTTACATGTGGGAGTTGACATACATTGATGTCAAGGGGCTGCAGTTTCATTCACAGCCTTTATTTATCAAATACTTCTCTGCAGTACAGAAATAAATTTTCATATAGGCTAAGGTAATTTCATTTTTACAGAGATATTCAGGACCACAGTTCATCATATAAGATATAGCAAGGCAAGTGAACCTACAAATGCCAAAGAAGTGTCAGAAAATTAATAGAAAAAATGTATTGCAAAGTAATAAAGAGAACATAAAAAATATTTTTTGTTACTTTTAACTAAACTTCTAAATTTTCAGAAGACCATCAAAAGGCAATTCTGAAAGGCAAAATTAATTCCAGATTTCCATTACTCTTTGTGAAGAAGCAGCAGAGCTCTTGTAATGTTAGAAAAAATTGTGTAATAAAAATACCTGTTCTTTCCCAAACTCAACTCTAAAAAAACCACATGCCATTTTTCCTTAAAATTTCCTTTAAAAGTCAGAAATACCACGAGAAGTAAGAATACTACCTTAGCAATTATCCATAAAGACAGCAGGATAATTTACCAGGGAGGAAACTGTAATGCATCATGGGAGTCCAGTTCGCTAATAATAATGAAAACATGGAGTACCCCAATCCCATGTCCCGTTAGGCATCCACTCAGCTATGGAAGGCAGGTGAATCTCAAATCAGGCAGAGGCTAATCTTTCTCATCAACTTGTTAAGTCAAAGTACTCTACAGATATCTGCTATCTTATCAACAAATTGATTATTTAATTTTCCAGGTGGAATATTGAAACATGGAAACTAGAATTTCCATTAAATCACATGCATTACTATTAACAATCTTTATCCTAATTTCAAATTCATAGTATATTAAAACCAGATAAAGTTAAAAGATTTATCTGTAATTTATACTACTGGAAGATCAGAATCAGGTACTGCATTTTACTGTAGACAATATGCCTCTGTACAAATGTAATGTATGCACATATACATATTTTTAATCCATTAATGAATTCAAATTTTTATTATCTTGTCTTATAAATACCTGCATAATGCAGGTCAATAGTTATGATGTCAATAGTTATATAGATACAAAATATGTCTTTTCAATTCACTGTTTCTTTAATTTTAAAATCCAATTTGAAACCACAGGACACTAGATATTATAAAGTTATGCATTAAAATGTTTTGTTTAAAGCACATGTAAATAAAAGTTAAGTATCTAGAATCTTTAAGGGTCAAAATTGTGAGGAATATTTTTTTTTAATTATATTACTTAGTGGTTTATTTACTAACAGAAACACCTTAAGTTTTTACTGAGGAAAGAAAGAAAAATTCTAATATCCTATCGGCTATGCACCTGTATACAATCCACAAAGATACAGATAGAAGCTTACAAAATTCTTTGATTTTCTAAGATAAGTTAATATCAGCAAGATATATTTAAAAAGGACTCAGTTCTATTCATTCAAGCCTGTCCTTTACTCATGTAAGTTACATTAGTAAGCATATATTGCATCAGAAAAAGCACTGCTTTATGGCTTTGTTTACCTAAAATGGAAAATAAAAAAACTGGGACAGGATAACTTTATACCAGATTAAAGAATTGCTGAGGATCCTTTTTATACTATGACAAATCCAGTTGAAATTTAATATTTCAAAAATATTCTGTGATATAATTGATTTTACTAACTCTGGAATAATTTTGAGAATCTGCTATTAATGAATATTAAATTAAAACCTTAATGCTCAACTTTTAACTGACATAATTTCTCTCTGCAAAGTCATAACATGAAGCCTGCAGATCTCAGAGAGTATTTTCTGTAAAAACATAAAGTAAGGATAGGATATTCAAAAAATAGCAGCTAGTCCAACGCTGTATGTCCATCAAAGAGGAGAACAGTTTATAAAAAGTCTTCCCTCATAAATTCTTTTGCTAGCTATAGTAACTATAATAAATGAAGAGTTCCTGTGAAATGCCCAAGGCCAGGCTTTGGTTCAGAGCTAAGAGCTACATCATCTTTATGGAGGGGAGACCCCAGAGCAAGGTTTTTGCTGCGGAACAAAAAGGAGTTGTATTTTTTCTTAAACGGACTATTCATTGACAGAAGAGCACTACTTAGGCAAAGCAGTAACCGCAGAGAATAGACAGTGTACTTGTAAGGAAACTGCAATTAGAATGTATTGGTGTTGCATCCTACCTTGTACACAATGATAGGAATATCAATGACAATATAGATAAGGTCTCCTAGTGCCAGACTGGCTATCAGTGCATTCGGGCCATTCCTCATACACTTGTTCTGGTAAATGATCCTCAGCAGAGTTGCATTCCCAACCATTCCAACGATGAAAATAGCACAAGATACCACCGTGTTAATGTATTTAAAAGTTTCAGCAATCTTAGTCTGCTGGGAGCATTTGACAGTTTGGTTGGACACCAGGGGCTGTCTGGTGGTGAGGAGTATGCTGGATTCGATCCCTGAGAAAGTGGAAAGGTAGTTTCCCAAGTCACTCTGATTGGCAGCGTATCTGTCAGAGCTGTCACTGAGGACAAATCCTGGCACCAGCAGCAGCAAGGAAACTCTTAAACACAAGGCTTCCATCCTGAAGTCCCCAAAAAGCAAATTCAGCGAGACAGGGTTTTTTCAATGTTGCAGTGAGATACTTCTCACTTCTTCACCTGCAGAGAGAAACAATAAGCAAAAACAAAAAAGAAGAAAGAAACACAGAATCAATACAACAGGTAGACTAACACATCCTGTTTCTCACTTAGGAAGGGTATTTGAATGTACAGTCTCTACAGCACGTATGTATAAACACCTGTTTATAATCACTGTGCTACTCCAAAATCTAGATTCCCCACATTAACTGTCTGACAAAAGGCAAACACAAAAAGTTCCTTAAGTAATTGATAGCTTATACAAATGAGATCCCACAAAACCTTTTTAGTTTGAGACAGAATTTGTATATGAATGGAAAAAATACGGTGAGTGAAGTTCTGTTTTAAAATATAGTCTTGCAAGAAAAGTGTACCAGCAAAGATAGGCCTTGGAGACTGCTGAATGATATTTTAGCTAAAATAAAAAGTTACTATTTTTTCTTTGAAAAAGTAAGGTAACAGCATCTCATTAATAATTAAAGGTTGTAAATTTGTTAATTTTCTGAGTATTTTTGATATATTGTAACAATGAGGCTTTATACTATTTTTCTGTGACTTTGTAATTACCTGAAGACTGAAATGAAGACTGAAAATATATGTATTTCAAATCAAATTTTGGACCAGATCCAAAGTCCCTAAATATTAGGAGGAAGACTTTTATAGTCTCAGGGTAGACCTCTGGCCAGGAAAAGCCCTTCAAACTTTATGTGTCATTTGGTTCCTGAATGTCATTGCAACTCATGTTCAGTACTTAGCCACGGTGAAGCTAATTATAAAAATTTAAGCTTTTTTAAAGGTAAAAAATACTTGGGTTTAGTATTCTAAGCAACAACTCATGACATTTCCAGATAGGAACGGAAGCACCATAGCATTCTGACTGCCTATGTGTAACCACCAGAGCTGGCTCCCTGCCACAGGGGGGTATAGATACTACACCTCCAGTGAAACCAAGGAGGCCACTCAAGTCCATTTCCTTGAAGCTTCAGTTTAATTTAAGATAAAGATTTTTTTACATGGCTTGTATCTGCAAAACAAGACAAAGTGCTGCAGTGTTGCCAAAAGAAGAGTAGAAAGTAAAGTATTTATAACTTTCTGATTTCTAGGGACTCACATGAAGGATTTGTGAGGATCTTTTTAAATAAACGAATCCTAATTTCATTCCCTATGGGGCTATTAAGTCAGAGTTTATAGCAAGAAATTTACCAGAGAAAGAATGTGGGAGACAATTTACTGATAGGACTTCTGGAGGAAGCCACAGTATAAATATTTACTACTATTATCCTCTTCTGTTGTGTGTGGTCTGTAGAAGTGTGTGTGTATCTATATACAGCAGCGAATGCAATGTTAACCTGGGTATTTAGCTTGTAGAGTGCTATCCCTCACAGACCAGGGGCCCACGTTTACAGTCTTTTATATTGGTGTATTTGAGATGAGGATCTGACCAACTGTGAGCTCCTATTAACTCGATTTTAAAATTTAATATACTAAACAGTAAATCCATCTTATTAAAAGCCGGTTACGATGGTATCTCAGGGCAGTTAGCAATGGCTTGCATGATGTAAGTGCTTTCACTTTGGGTTTCTAAATCATGTTAGAAATAACAGACATATTTGACTGTAACTCTTTTTCAGGCAAGTATTAATACTGTTATTATTTACTATGACTATGGTTCCCCAATTTATAAATGGAAAAACTGCTTCACTAATGATTTAAATGACTTTCCCGAGTTCATACTTGCCCAAGTAAATGTGATACAGCTATGAACAGAAACCACAGCCCTATGCTTTAGTGGTTATATTAGTATCCTCCTTATTTAATGATGTTTTCTTGTGAAAATTTGATGTATATATCATATGAACATGGTGGTAGCATGGCAATCATGCAGCCAGCATGCAAAGCTAGGAACAAAATTGCCAATTACCATCTCTTCCCTCTCACGCAAGAAAATTTTCCATAAGAAGCAAAACTAGAAAATTTTTAATATAATAATTTCTAAGGATATTTTCTTACGGATTCCTGACAGTCCTTCATTCCTCTGTGCATATTTTCAAAGTATTTATATTGTTACAAAATATAACATGCAAACTGCCTAATGTAAGTTACGTACAAGCATCCGTAATAACTTCTTGTAATAACATAATCTAGTATTCCCCTTCACATGTACTCTGAATACCTGGAGTGTGTGAGGTTGTTGTGTTCATCTGGGGGCCACATGCGTGTGCTGTGCCTGTGCTCCCACAGCACTGCAGAAGTAGCCCCAGATGCAGTGAGCAAAACTCCTAACTTGCCTGGGGTATCAAGCCAGAAAAATTCCCGTGCCGAGATTCACAAGAAGAGACCATGCTATTGGAAATGAAACTGTTCAAAGTATTAAAGACGAGCTAAAACGTTAACAGTGATTAATCTGCCCAAAAGGCAGCTGAGATGTGAACAGGAGCAAATAAACGTAACGGGGGCACGAAAGCGCTGAGAGCAAGCCTGCCGACAAGGCGAATTTCTCTCGGTTGTCTCCCACTCCAGCCCAGACCGTGCGCGCTCTTTGCTGCTGGAATAACTGCCTTCTATTTCTTCCTCTAACGCAAGAGAAAACATTCTCCGCTTGTAACACTATCAAAGATCAATTCCAACATGCACTTGGCG